ACTACTCAACAGCAGGAATCAACAGAAATGTATGTACTAAAATATATAAGGAGTAACCACAAGTAGAAGGGGGACTTATACTCGAAATCAACAGACAATTTTCACTCTCAAAAGCTAGAATGACTTACTGGTTTTAACAAGTAATTTCGAAATCGATTTCAATTTTTTATTAGATGTATTATACGGTAAAACAGTATCACTTATTGGATAACTTTTTCGGGCACAGTTTATTGTCCATATTCATATGATATGAAGTCACAACGGTAGCCAAGTTTTACTCCTCTAGTAATTCTGAGCTACTTATTAGTAGTATAAATTGCTGGGATAAAACAACTTGTCAGCAATACATGTGTGATGATAGGGTTACGACCCTAATTCTCAATAGCTTACAAATGACACCTATGATACAGATTCTAATTCACTAACCTAGAATAAGTGGTACACCGTAGGTAAATTCTATCTACGTATTTCCATTATCCGGCTATACATTAGCAGAATTCTGCAATCTCATTAGCCGTAATAACACAAAATATACGTTTACTTGTTTTAATATATATACCGCAGTGGGATTAGACAAGCAAAATACACTTTATACAACGAACACCCAGAGGCATTGATGGAGATAATAAAATTTCTAGTGTCAATGTAAATGCTAGAATGTGAAATTAGAATACGCCTTATTAGTATGCATTCCATTGGATTCATGTGAAATAGTTACTTGTCGAAGAGCTCGTGTTGAAAGTGTTTGTCCGATCTATGATGCATAAGATGATAAATTAAACGTGGTAACTTGTTTATCCCCTATGGCGTTAAACTGGATACTTCTACCTAAAAGATTTCTTTTCCGGTGATGAATACAAAGCAAACAACAAATTTGAAAAAGACGGAATGAGTAGACTTCAGTGACAGATATCGACTTTGGATATATATATATATATATATATATATATATATATATATATATATATATATGTATATATATATGGAGCACTGGAACTGACGACTCCTGCTTTTCGTAAATTCGTTGCTTGTTAGGCATTCCATCTACACCAGACGGTCTGAGCCGAGTGGGTAGACTGCTTGGATGGGGTCCCTGAAAAGAAACAAATCAGTGGTTAAAGACTCTTGGTGACATGGAGCCGATGTATTCGCTCCTTGGCGTCTTCTAAAGTTTGAATATTTGTACCATCCTTTGTCTTTAGGGAGTTTTAATCTCTCACATACCTTTGTCTGCTCTTATTTTACTCTTCCTATCCACCCGTTCTTTGTGTAATAATGTAAGGTGTTGCAACTTGAGTTGATGCACCAATGTGCAAGGTTCTAATTTGACTGTCAGTCAGTCTACATTAGACTGAAGATTTAGACAGTATCATAAAACTGCATAGATTAGTGCACAAACTTACGTTGGAATACTGTAAGGGGAATTCAACTGGAGCGACAGATATCGTTTATTGAGAAAAAAGAACTGATGCTGGTAATAGTACAATATGATATCCATTTGTTTGGTATCTCCTTCCGCACTGCTGTTGCCACTAAAATATTTTCATCTAATATTGTGTACTTTTACTGCCCAATTTTTCGCCAGTCTATCGTTATCAATATCGAGGCTGCTACATTCTACCTATAGTTATCACTAAAAATGAATCGCAATTGTATAGTTGAGCAGTCAAAAGGGACATTTCTAAGGGAAGTTGAGTGAGTAGTTTATTTGTTGAAATAATATATACATTTGCCAGATAATTAAGTCATCTTTAGGTTTTTCATTGATAGGCACTTAGTTCCCACTAAGTTTCAATGGTTCTATCCCATGGATATTTTTTAGTGTTGATACAAATATTGGGTGTCAATACAGAAAAGGGATGTCTCTCATTGTGTACATACTCTCCAGCTCCACATAAACTTATGTACTCAATTGTTAAGTAGGACTCGGAATTACATCAAAAACGTGGAAGTTTTATCACGAGTTGCATAATAACTTGCTTAGGTTTACATCGATAGTTAGTCACTTCAATGAAATCAACGGTTTCTAGAAATTATAGTGTTGATTCTTCTTTTCTTATGACGATTTTACATTTTTTTATGCATGCAACTTTCTACTGCTTACTATTATTGAGTAGTGTAACTCAAGTTCTATCGCAACGCGTCTTTATCGGTTTCTAATTTCCGGGAAGAAAGTATTACATAGATACTTCTTTCCTTTGTATTTTATTAGTATTAGATGCTCGTCAACAAAATAGTCTTATTTCACATACTATGCACATTTTTCTTTGAGACAACACATAAATGCTGACCGAGTCAATGTTAGGTGTGAGACAACAGCGTAAAAGGGGGTGATATCTGAATCACTGCGAACCAAAGCTAACAAGTCAATCACGAGGTGTAGAAAACGAGACTGATGAACTTTTTTATTGAGAAATTAAATTACAACATTAACTCCTTGCATTCAGTGCAATTCATGCCAATAGTCTTTGCATTCTACATTGAAGATAAGTTGATCTTCAGTTTCTGTTGATTCTTTGTTTACCTTCTATGTTTCCCACTTATATTTCTTGTTTCTCATCCCCAGAATCCCTACTGATGGCATACCAACCTTAATTGCTTTTCTCTGAGACATCGCGCTACACACTACTTATGTGTTCTTGTAAGTAGCATACACCTTTCCTGAGTTACATACTACTACATCAACCTTGGTATTACTGTTACGCTGTTTCCCACATCCAAATGTACGCCAAGATGTTAGATAATGAAACTGTTTAAATCCTATTCTTTCACAGTTACCAACATTTCTAACGTCTAGATGGATGCAGCGAAAGGAAGAACATAAGCCAGAGATGGGAGCTTTAACTGTTTCACATTTAGACAAAAGCCAGTCAAAACACTTGGGTATACACACGAAAGTCTCAATCACGCCCAGAAGTAGTAATATTGATAAACTGAAAGTAACAACCAACAAGGGACTAACCTTCAAAAATTCCAAAAAAACCCGATTTACTGGCTATGAAGAGAGAAAAGGTAGGAGGGGGGGGGGGTGGTAAATCGAAAATCTAAAAATAAAGGAAACTTTCTTTAAGGTAACATTTGAAGCTTCCTGGTAATGACCCAATTTGTTCCACTTTAATCATACATATATGTGTCTTCAAATATTACACCGTATTTACGTTTATATTCATACCGCAAAATAGAAACAAAGAGTCATACTGGTTGGTAAAGTGCATTTTGATGGACAAAAATACTTAGCATAACGGAGATCTGAGAAATGAAGTCAATCCTTAAACTGTACTTCTCCAGTGAGGGGAATACACTAGCCTTTTTGATCTCTTCCAATGCCCACCATGATACTAATGATTGTTTGTTTTTTTTTAAATAGTTTCGAATTGTTTCGCTGAGATGTGTATGATGCCAGAAAGAATTATGACTTAACTAATGTTACGGAATATGTTTGGTAATTCCCTCCGCAGAATAGAATTTCTCTTTGTTACATTCCACTACCAGAGTAACCGAAATGTTAATAAGTTAGCAATCTTTAAGCTTTGAGGTATGTTCGAGGACACTTCATCATTAAGATGTGTACCTTCGTCAGCATTTACTTCATAAAGAAGTTCATTATAAAGGTGACCAAATATCCAGCGATACACCTCAAAGCTTTAAAAAATACCAAAAAGTTGTCATGCTCATTCAGGGCTACAAACTTTCCTTATTAAACAAAATGTATAAGATTTTAAAAACCTTATCTTTTTTTTGCTGAATTTCTTCGACAAATCCTTATTAATATTACCTTATTACAGCCAGAATCTGTTAACTTTTTCACCTTTGTTACTGTAAAACCCTGAACCGTTTACATTCGATCTCGGTCCCAATCACCAGACGGCAATCTTTTACTTACCTCAAGATAGCAGGGTGTAGCTACTGTCGTGTTTTCGTCACTACATTTCATTCCAACGCGCTGATATTCGATTCCCTTCAGTGTGGAGTATTTATGCTTATGCTGAGAAACTTCGCTGTTACGTTTAACAGACCCATACATTCAACACCTTTCTATCCAGTATACCAATATTGGTTTTAGTGTTCAATAGGTGTTGCTGAGTACCACAACAACTAAAATATAGGCATTCTGGTTTGAACAAAGTGTGAAACTCTAAAAGTTTCAACTCAACTATGCTATACGACTACACTCCCTCTAGATGGTAATCACAGTTACCTGAGGTGACGCGCAATTCAGAATTATCTCACACAGAAATCAAAACACAATTGACGAAATAATACATACAGACTTTATATCTTTCACTCAAATCATACAAAAGACCTAGAGCTTCATCATGAATTCGCTCGATATATCGGAAGCTTTTCGGTACCCATACGAAGGTGGAGACATGATACACTTTTTTGTAGCTTCTCCAACCTTCTCTTTACGATAATGCAACAGCTACAAAAGAAACTGCCGACCATCTCCAACCTCTGAGGCAACGTATATTTGGAATCGATTTCCAGCATGCTGTCGGTTGCTCATCAACGGTAAACAATTCCATACTTATAGACAAGAGTAGGTTCAGAATTCTGAATGGATCTATGAACAGCCTTCTGTTTAAACTAAGACACATGCCATCCTCCCTTACTCTGCTTATCTAATAATTCTATAAACTCTCATTCCTCTCTTCCTTACAAGTGAGACTCTTTCAGTACAGCAACAACCAACTTAGAACTAGTAAGACTACGCTAACCAACCTTACTAACACGAGAGCCATGACATGGAAATATATCAAGAGAAACTTACCACGCAACTGAGAGATGACCGACCGATTTCGCATCGTCAGAACTCAACGACATGAACAAACGTAGAAATATTGTAAGTTTTCAGCTGTTCAGCACAACAACCAGTACTCAATGTTACGCCATGTTTCTTATTGATTACGACATAACCTTTAACCCATAACACACAACTATCTAAACAATATGATGACATATTAACACGAGGTAAATGATCCAACAAGGAAAAAACTTACCGTGATACGATTGTTCATCACTGATAGAATTGGCTGTTAGCTGAGTACTGATTGGTTCACGAGCAGAATCACTGTAGTAATTTCGTGATTGCTTTGAAGTGACAAACTGGTGAGTTTGAATTGGTACAGATGTCGGTGTATTAGAATACAAATCTCTATTTTCTGCTGTCGGTTGAGGATTAGACCATCGTGATGAAGTTCGTGGATTTTGTGAATGAGAACGGCTTGTCGACTGGTGACTAGGAACAGGAGGATAGACTTTGGGATTCTTCGGAGAGAAAGGGGAAATGGCCTCCAGTCGGCGAAGAATAAAACATATATTGGCAGGATTTTCTTTAGTACTGAAGATTATAAGAATACCGGCATATATGTATAACATGTTATCATGGTTCCTAAAATATGGTGCGATTACATAGACTTAAGATCTGGGTCGGGACAACCCTATCTCCCAAACTGAAAATTTGGTACACTTTAAAAGTTTTTTTCGAAACGCTTGATTGAGTGTTATAACCAGTAACTAAGTATTGTATTTAGGTAGTAAATGTCAAGTTGGTTAAAATTGTTGAATCACAGCCTAATGTAGATCACCCTGGGTGGGTCGATTTAAGAGGAGTGATACAGTGTACACATAACCTTCTAGATTAGACGAGTCCTCACTCTGAATCAGGAAATAAACAGAAGTCTTTAATATCAGTTTGGAAAGTGAAGAACTAAATACCGGACCAAGCTTATAAGGTTTAATAAATACTACTAGCAGAACTAAAAGAAGCAATTTTTTGGAGTGAAAGGTTTGAACATGAAAAAGCTATAAGAAGGGATATTGTGAACAACAAGGTTTCCTGGATCGGTTAACATCCTCCTATCTGCAAACATAATAATACCATTTTTCAACTATCTAAGAGTGAAAACACTGGCTTTAAAATTATTATTTAGTGTTGAAATCCTTAGTTAGAATTTCTGAAAATAGGCTTTAGTGTAAGTGTAGATGACGAATATAAACTGTGTAAAGGCTGCTACACAATCTGAGTTTTATTTTGCGTTCTACACGAAATTTATGTACATTCATAACCACTTCATACCAAAATTCCAACAAATGGGCAGGCAGATGAAAAAAATCAGTGCGTCGGGGAAACTTAACATCCTGTTGGTGTCAGGATTACCAGGTGATCTGTCTACCAGGGCCACTTTGATTTTGGAAGGATGCGGAACAGCCTAAAAAATAATCAACACTCCTTGCGTCATAATAAGTGCATATACGGTCAGTTACTGAAGAATTTTACAAACCACAACAGTAGAAATTGTGGGAAACATTAATTTCCACTTAGCTACTCTCATTATACTTCATTTGTATGGTGATTTTATCTTGTGGGAAACTGAGAAAGAGTTTCGTTAGTACACTTCTGGTGTCTCACAAATGGCCAGCCTTCTCAAAAAAAGTGCATACTGGGATGAGAGATGTTGCTAAACACGTTTTGAGCTATCCTCATTTCCGGTTGAAAGGTGGTCGGTATATACGATCGTTTCAGTCGATTCCAGCAGCAGCAATCGGTAACCGGTGGCTTGTGGATGTGATGGGATCATTTCCGCAGACACCCAGTGGCAACCAATACCTGTTTGTGATGACGGAGCATGCTACACGATGGGTAGACGCTGTCGCGATTTCTGACCAACGCGCGAAGACAGTGACCGCAGCGGCGATGATGCGGCACATTGTCGTGGATCACGGTGTGCCGAAGATTATATTGACCGACCAAGCCAAGGTCTTTGTTTTGAGAGTGAAGAATTCAAATCCTGTTTGGAGCAGCTCGATATCAAGAGGATAGGAAACGACACCGTACCACCCGCAAACTAACGGTATGACAGAACGGAATAACCGTACACTTAAGGAGTGGCTGGCTTTGAAAGCTAAGGAGGAAACTGGCAGGCGGAACTGCCGTCAATATTACTGGCACATCGTGTCTTGGTACAAGGAAAAATCAAGAAGTTGTCGTTCCAGTTAGTGAATGGCAGGAAACCACGGCTCCTAATACATAGTACGACCTGGCCCCAACAACAGCCGTGGAACATGACAAGATTGAGAAAGGGGTGGAAACAGGTATCAGGGATGTGGAACAGAAAGCTGATGCTGAAAAATCCGAGCAGAGAGGAAGTAAATGGGAACCGTTTGAGGTCGGAAATCAAGTGAAATGTAGAGAGCGAGAATATACTCCAGGAGGTGAATATGGTAGAAGAAAACTGCCCCCGATGGGGGAAGGACCGTACATGGTTACCGAGAGATGCGATTCAGTTTATACCATCAAGAAAAGGGACAAAAAGAAAAGAGTAAGGATCCGATAGAACCAATTGAGCAAAATAATCTGATCTATCAAATTCCATGTGATAACTGCGAGGTCAAGTACATAGGTCAAACTAGACGGTCGGGGTCAGTTAGAACAGCCATACATAGGAATCTAGCTAAATACAGAATGACAGACCCAAATATGATCAATAATCTAGAAAAACACTCGGCTATTGCAGTGCATGCATCAACACAACCATGCAACAGGGTGGAATAAAGCACTTTACTTAAGTTCAATATAATTAGGTGGAGAGATTGATAAATGAATCTTTGTTCATCGAATCAACCTCCAACACATGTAACGGAAAGGATGCAACACCTGCACCAAAGATGTGGAAAATTGTACTAACAATAAAAACAAATCATATGAGGTGACAGAACTATATAAATCAAATGTCGAAAGTAGTGTGACTATACTTATATGATTATGAGCAATAGTTTGTGCTCGAAACATCATCAAGTAAATAATAATGTATCACTGTGTGTTATAAATCAAATAAGCGAATCTAAAATGGAATTAAATTATACCACTAAGCCCAAGTTTTACACCTATATTAGTACACTTCTGGTTTTAAATGAATCTTATTTGATTTGTTTGTGAATCACTTCGGAGGAATGCATCCCGGATAGTTCTTGAAACTAAACGAGCTCGATTTTATAATAAGGAAATAACAAGAGAAAAAAATGTGTTTAGAATTTTCTGAGTAAATACATCCATGTCATTGTGACTATTATATCATAAACTATGTCCAACTCAGAGGACTGCCGCCCCTAGAATAAGGTTTATCTTGAAACCATGCTAAGATTACATAAGGCAACAGGAGTATGCAATTCCGCTGATCATGGTTTTCTCATCTTAAGTCAGTGGCTAGAATTTCTTGTCAGAGGGAAGGAAATTAGCTCTGCCCGTGAACGCATTGATATAGAAACTAGACCTTAACATACTTTACAATACATCATGAACCTGGTCACATAAAGCCAAAGTATAGGAGCATTATTGTTATGAAAACACAAACTTGGTACGTCGTAAGCATTAAGAAATGGGCCATACAAAATAATAGAGCAACATTGTGAAGACAAAGGAAATGGAAGAGAGAATGGAATCAGATAGCAGTGAGTTGTTAGAGCAGCAATCTCAGGAATAACTTCAGATAATTACTTACTACTTTCGTCTAGCCTTTAAGTAGTAGGAGAAAACCGAAAATTTCAGCATGACTTTAAGGCTCAGCTTCTCTACTTAAGCGTTAAAATCAGATACCATTATGACTACATCTCGAAGTTTTGCTTTCTGTAGTAAGTTTGATAACTCTTCATAAACCGTCTAACCTCCTCTCGAAAGCCAAACGTTCGGACGTGGTGGTTGTTGCAGGTGACCTCAACGCACAGGTGGGTAGACTGAGTGAGGCAGAAAGGCACTTAGGTGGCACTTTCGGAATCCCAGCTGAACGTACAGATAACGGTGATCGCCTATTACAACTATGCTCAGATAACCGCCTATTTTTAGCCAGCACAAATTTCAGACATAAAGAAAGGCACTGTCTGACCTGGCGTCCACCGAGCTCGACTCAGCGATGGACACAGATAGACCACATTGCTATTAGTCATCGCTGGAGAGGATCGGTGGAAGACTGCCGCTCCTTCTGGAGTACGTGTTTGGACAGCGATCATGCGTTGGTCCGAGCACGTATATGCCTGCGTCTCAATGGACGTAGAAAAAATTTGGCAACAAAACCACTACGAGTTCTGCTGGACAACGAAAACACCAAAGCCGTGTTCAGTGAGAAGTTGGCTAGGCAGTTATCGGAACAAAAGACTGTCACTCATCCAGAAGAAGCTTGGTGCCATCTTCAGTCTACTGTAAAAGCAGCACTGGAGACTGTAGCCGACTCCAAGATAATGGCTAAAAAGAGCCAGTGGATATCAGCAGCTTCTTCCAAACTAATGGATGCACGTGAATGCATCCCTGCAGGCTCTGAGTACAATGAAGAGCGAGCGCAACTTAAAAATAACTGACGAAAAGTCTGCGCAACGATCGTGAACAGTGGTGGGCAGCAAAGGCTAAAGAGATGGAAAAGGCAGCGGCGATCGGTAACAGTAGACAGTTATTTAGACTTATTAAGGAGACTGGGGGGAAATGGTCAACAACAGTTAGTGAGGTTATAGCGGAGAAGGACGGATCGATTCACTCGCAGGGAAGGCGACTGGAACGATGGGCAGAACACTTTGAGGAACAGTTTAACTGGCCTCCAGCCACCATTGCGCTGCCCGCTATCCAGTCGGACCCTGAATGGGACATAGAGACAGGTCCCCCAACACTAGAAGAAGTTGAGAAAGCGGTAGGTAGCCTGAAACGGGAAAGGGCAGCAGGACCAGACGGACTACCTGCTGAGGTATACAAGAATGGTGGTAGAGTTCTCTTAGTCAGGCTAACGGAAGTGTTAGCCAGTATATGGGAATCAAATACGATCCCCTCCGACTGGTCTAAGTCACTCATCATCCCAGTCTTCAAGAAAGGCGAGAAGTCCTCTTGTGATAACCACAGAGGAATCAGCCTGACAAACATAGTGTCTAAGATCCTAAGTTCTATAATTCTCCGACGCCTGAGTGGAGCTCGGGAACAGCAAGCCCGAGAAAACCAGGCAGGCTTTAGACCTGGCCGTGGATGTATCGACCAAATATTCACACTGCGCCAGGTCCTGGAACATAGGCATGCTTACAGACGCCCGACAATAGCTGTATTTCTCGACCTGAAGGCGGCATTTGACTCCGTTGATCGAGAAGTCTTATGGCAGTGTCTGTCACTGAAAGGCGTGCCTAGTAAGTACATCACCTTATTGAAAGCTCTCTACTCGAACACTTGTGGGCATGTTAGAGCCTATGGTGAGTTGTCCAGGGAGCTATACTCATCAAGTGGTGTCCGTCAAGGATGCCCACTATCCCCATTCTTATTTAATTTTATCATAGATATTCTTATGGAGGTTTCCCTCTCGTCACCTAATTACAAAGACGTTGACCCATCACAGGTGAATTTTCCTTAGATCTAGAATATGCAGATGACATAGTCCTGTTAGGTGAAGACGCTGACAAGATGCAGAGTCTTCTGAACACTTTGAGTGGGAATTTGAGAATGTTTGGGATGCGATTTTCACCACCCAAATGCAAATTTTTGCTCCAGGACTGGTCTTCAGCGGTACCGCGGTTAACAATAGTGTGTTGACCACTTCACTTACCTGGGAAGTAGGATCAACCCGGTGGGTTAGTTGCCGATGAGATTTCTGCACGGATACAAAAGGCTCGATTGGCTTTTGCCAATTTGCGCCACCTATGGCGCCGCCGTGATATTCGTTTGTCTATTAAGGGTCGCGTGTACTGCACAGCAGTCCGCTCTGTTCTACTGTATGGCTGTGAAACATGGCCATTGAAAGTGGAAGATATAAAAAGGCTTCAGGTGTTTGACCACCGTTGCCTTCGTAGTATAGGACGTATTCCGTGGTGTCACCATGTGAGTAATGCAGGAGTTAGGTGTAGAGTTTTAGGGAGAAGAGGTAAGTCAGTCGACGAGGTTGTGAACCTTCATCGACTGAGATGGTTGGGACACGTACTACGTATGCCTAGTCACCGATTGCCTCGTCACACAATGTTGGCTGAGGTGGGTTCAGGCTGGAAAAAGGCCCGAGGTGGCCAGACTAAAACATGGCACCAATGTATGAAGTCTCTGACTGTTGGTTTAAGCCATGTAGGACGATGCAGACTAGGTGGTTGGGGTCCACGGGACAAGAGGAACCAGTGGTTGGAGACCCTAGGTGATATGGCTCAGAACCGAAGTCAGTGGCGCAGATGTATACACACATTATCCTCATCTTAACAACGCTATACCGAATCTCACCATTTTGTCACTCCTCTTTTTTTTCTTCTCGTACTTTATATTTCTTTTGACTGCATTCACTTATCTTCATCCTTCACCTCACTACCTTTCTACTTGATGAACTGACGTGAGGTGTGGCAACTCGGACCGTTACGCAGTAATGCCTAGTCGTATGTTGATAATGATTTGATTTGATGAATTCATCCGTTGCATTATCCGAACTGCAGTTGGTGGGTGCGTAGGTAGAGATTATAAACAGGCATCGCCTAGTCTCATTACCCTTCTTAGTCATTACAGACCCATTCACTCAAACAGCACATGGACGGCTGTTTACTGGAGTCCAGTCGAGGAGCACACTTTCTGCTCTACAACTCAATGCTATGTCCACCTGTGAGTCCACGAGAGCTAGCCACTGGATCTCCGGATACTCCAGGTGAGTTTTGAAGATTCACTACAATGCCCAGATGAGACCAATTTAATAACCACACTCGGTTCCTGTATACATGTCTCTGATAAATGGCATACATCCCAGCTTTGGCGAGTGATGCTCGCTGTCTGGTTCGGCAAAGTTCTGACGTTGACAGCTCCTACATGAAACTAGTGGTGGAAGGGGTCTTAGAAGACTAGGACTGAGGTATTGATAGCTTTGGTCGTTGACAATTGTTGCACAATGAGGTCGTGTAAGAGGCTTAATATGAGTATCAAGAGGGGAAGGTAAAGGAGACAGAGTTGAGGAGGATAAGTAATTTTTGACTGGATCTTGTGTACAACTGGAAGTGCTTGGGGAGGGGTGACATTTCCTGGCCGCCAACACTGTGGAAGGTTATTTCTTCTTCTGTAAAAAATTGATTTGTGGCTGCAGAGACCATAGGACACCTGGTTGAGGCCTGTCACACACTGCCTTTTGCGGTGTTGTCCTGAGGTTTGGTTGTGCTAACACCCAGTAGAGAACTCATACAGCCGCCATCGGGAGACAGTGGAGCAGGGAGGAGCATACTAGCCCCAGTACGACTTCGTCCTCAGACCCTCATCATAGTGTAGTAACTTTAAAAAACGGTATCTACTCGTCTTATCGCTTTTCAGGAGACCTTTCTGGCATAGTAAGACCTCAAGAGAGCAAGCATTTCACCAGCATAGTTTGTTGGGTTATTGTGAACAGTACGTGAAGTTAGCAGATATCAGCTGGATGAAGTTATGTGTTGAGTACTAAGCTAGGAAGACAAGTCGGTCGACGAGGTTAGTGTGATGTGATGTTCAACAACTAAGCTGGCTTTTAGATATACTGCGAATTTCAAGGCACCACCTACTTTGATAGATGTTAGTCTGAGTAAGATCAGGTCAAGGTATGGTGCTTTTGCATGAAGTTCCTCGCAAATGTAGAGAGGTGTGGGCCGCCTATCTAGTCATCAAGATAATAGGAATCAGTGGGCGGATACTCTTGATGATGAACACTTTACCATCCTCAAAATCTTAAATACTTTCAATAGCTTTCTTTCTAATACGCTTTAGTCTACTTTAGCGTTTTTCTTTTCATATCCACTTCTTTGCATGCTGTTGTAAAGTGTGGCAACTGTAGCTAATTCACTTACTAGCCGTCTTATATTGATTTTTGTTTCTCTTCTTACCTTGAAAGTCTTACAGTGAGCAACAATCATCATAAGAGGTCAGAGTACAAAACAGGGGATGGAGGACGAAAATAAAATGGGGGAATAGAATTGGAATCAGTTTTCTGGCCTATTCCCCACACAACTTGCAGTTTGCTAGCACTTCAAATATCTGGATGAGTATCACCACTACTCTGATTAGCAACTCTGGGTGCTTGCAATGGGATTAGGAAAGCAATGGATAATCACGAACATGGTAGGACAGGATATATTTTTTATTTACTTATAAGCAATGTAGAGTGATATCCGCATGTGCAGATATGACGATTGTGGTTGATTTATGTATGTGCAAAATAAAGTATAGGTATTTATGGGTCAACTTTCCCATTAAACCAGAGGTGCATATATACACGTGTATATAGTAGCTGTGAATTTATAGTCACATGTAAGACAAGGTAGTGCAACTGGGTTGCCACTTACCTTGTTTGTTCTGAAAAATAATGGATCTAGAGATGGCTAGGGATTTCCATGTATATATGTATATACATATATGAATAAACGAGTAAGTTCAAAAGATCTTTTGACCCACCACAGGATATACGCCTGTAAGGCAACTACCCAATATATTCTCTATTTCAGTGCGTTAGTTTTTCATAGAAACCTCAGAATGTATCTAGTTCTTATCATACGAGATAACGTCTGCTAAAAATCTAATGGATACGTAGAAAAGGAACCTCATAGTACCAACCACAGGGTCTGAGACTTTATCGAGATTTATGGACGGTACATCAATTATACACGGCAATGACAAAACCACCAACACAATGCAGGGTGGCTTTGTCTACGATTATATTGTTCAAGTGAATAGCAGTTAGTCGATATGATAAGGTGATAAGATCTAAATGACTTACTCTTTGATGAAATTTATGATCCGCTCATCTGGAGAAAGCGTAACCTCTTCCTCTCTATAGCTTGCGACCAAAGTATAGAAGCCAGGTAAACTGGCAACTTGTGCAAGTTTAAATATTACTTCTTCACAAGTTGTTCCTTCGTTAATTCCACACACCTCCCTCAGCACACCATCTGCGTTGACCTTGATGTCCATCGTTATGACCTCGAAATGAAAAAGCAAAACAATTGTAATAAGAAAATGGCAATGTTTAACGAGTTACAAGTTAAGAATTAGCCATTTTCAGCAAGGTCAGTGTAACAATTATATTTTCAAATCCCATGGACCTTTTGCTCCTCTTTAACAGTATGAACATGACTAAAGAGATCAGTTTTCAGTGAAAGGGTTAACAAGCAGTTAGCCTCTAATAATCCTTGCAAAAATTATCTCCGTGAAAGTCCAGTTGTTACCTGAGTTGAACCGCCGAGGGAGCGGTTGCAAGTTGTTCCGCCTAAAAGTCAAAGTAGCCGACCACTCCGTGGGATGCTTGGGATCCCCTAGAACAGGGTTCGACCGAAGCTTTTGGGTCTTTGCTATTTCTTCTAAAGTGATCTGTTCAAGAGGCAGATAAGGAATTTGATAACTCAATACCCAAGTCGCTATTCTGGAAGTGAAATTCTAAGATCAGGTTGCCTCTTTTCCACATCTAACAACATCCAACATCATTCGTGCTAGCAAACTTGTAGTTTTTAAGCTCTTCTTTTTATGGCCTGAGGCTCGGTTATTTTTGTTTAGTTACACTCCTTAGTGGGCTGTAAAAATCCTTATATTCTACCTGCTTGTAGCTTGTGAGGTAATGATTGCTTTTTTGGGGGTTCTTTGCAAAACTGTGGCTTGGTTTTGTTTAGAGGGAGCATCTAAGCTTCTGGCAAGATTAATTAACCTTTTGCAGCTCCTATTTTTGTAGGCATCTGCAAGCAAATGGTAACTGTCGTTCAAAAAAGATGTACTAGAAATAGGGAGTGAAAGGTGCTTATGGTGAAGAGATGGAAAAGGGGTGAGTCTAATTGCAGATAATGTGGTTTGGGAATATAGGGTTGGGTGAGCATGCCTTCAGCTGCTACCAGTGAACATTCGCGGTGAGCAGTTTTCGCTCGCTTACTTATCCAGCAATCATCTGAGGGACTCAACTGACGTAACCATGGGCATTCACTACAACAGAGGCACACACAGTGACAAGTTGGATCTCACCCTCGTCTTTGGCCTGCGGTAGGGTATACGAGTGTGGCTGCCACTAGACTGTCCGTTTGGGGTTGATAATACTGACCTGCTTGGTCGTTCGCTTGGTGAATAATAATACAGTGGAGTGTTATTAGGTCAACTCACCTCCTTCGGCAGCCTTATGTGGGTAGGTTGAGTTGTCTGAGGCGTTGATCATATGCTTTGCTTGTTAGTCTGACGATCGACCTTGTCCCTATTCTTTTTACCTTCTCGACAGTGCTCACGTCTAACTTTGGCAGGAGGGTTATCGTGTTGAATACCTCTAGCTGCGGTCCAACATTGGTTTCAAACACTATGAAGAACAATTCTAGGGTTAGCGCTTTGAGGTGCCTTTTTAGAAAGTGCCTCCGCCTTTGCTGCTATCATCTTACGGCTGGAGATAATATCCAGTCTGTCAGAGAAGTTTAATTCTAGGTCTCTGTATGTGAATATCCCAGTGGTTGTGGACTTGCTGAGGATTTGGTTGGTCTTCGACGCTAAGAGTGTGCAAAGACATTACATTGCATTTCTACAGGTTAAAGCTCGAGCCATTTGCAGCTGACCAGGATTCCAGTCGCAGGAGACCGTATTGGAGTATCCTACAATCCTCTTTGTGCATACTGTCCCCCATATTTTGATGTCGTCCGCAAACAGGAGGGTGGACGAGGAAAATTGAGCGTGGGAGGATATTGGTGAGTGGTAAAAATGGGAGTGGTTCAGGGATGGCATCTTGAAAAACTCCTGCTCTTGTGTTCCTCCGGGCTGATCAAATTTTGTTTACCGTGGTGCACAATTCTGCATCATGTAGATACGCTGTATACCATACCAAGGTTGGTTCAGCGGTGCCCACTTTTGCAAGTTTAGCAAGCATCATGTTATTTGGGGGCGATAGAAAGCACTGTCCGAGTCCACAAAGGTAACATAGACTGTTTGCTGGTTGCCCCATCAGTGGGTCAGTCATCTCAAGCAACCATCGTGACAAAGGGGGTAGACCTAACCTTTGTAATCGCCCTCCAGAAGTGAGGTAAGCATGGGATGCCACAAAATGTGTGGCAACACTTTGGACCCATTCTAGAGCATGGGCTTCGTTTTTGAAGCACAGACTGGCCACCTGGTTTTGATACTTTAAGTGAGGCCTTGCGCAAGTGTGGTGTAGAACCTTAAACTTCTCTTCATTAAAATATCTGAACGCTCTGTAAAGGGTCCAGAGCATGCGAAAAACGTTCGCTGAAAACGCATTACAATTAACAGATTTCCGTAGGCCGTGACTTGGGATAACCTCCAAGTTCGTCGTTCCAAAGCCAAGGGTATTAGTTCATCCAGTAGCTACCGGAAAAGTCTAACCTAATGAACGTTACCGTACTCTTTCTGCAGTTGATTTCCAGGCTCCACCATTTCAACTATTCAACCAGTTCACCGAAGTCAACTTGAAGCGGAGACCTGTCGTCATCATCATGGACGGTCATCCATATGCTGGCGTTGCCAGCAAATGGGAGTAACGATAACCCAAGCATTTTGGTATTTCGTCTTATTGTGGAAGGAAAAGCAGCGGTTCAAGAATAGAGGAACAGCCCCGGCAACAGGTTGTCACTAAGACAGTTTCCGATTCACTTTTACTTCATACCTTCTCCCAAGTAGACAATCCCTGATCCATTCGTGAACCACACTTCCAGCACCAAATGGGTAGGAACTTTAACCGAAAACCGCGTTAACGTCGGTGAACACTATGTGTGCAGGGATTTTATCATCCCTGGCCCCAACCCAGTCCTTCCTCTCTTGAAGTGTGTTCGTCAATCAACAGTTTTCAACCCATAAACCACGTTAATCCCGTGAAAGTAAGTTATATTATTGAATGACAGACTATCTCATCACATACTGTCTTCCCCACTTAACAGCGATACTGCCGAAACTGGCATACAGTTGCCTATCGCCTCCCTTCCCACCCCTTGATAGCTGTGCATGCTGAACAGCACAGTTAAGGACACGCAAAGGCTGCCGGCCAACAGTAACAGAACCTTGGGACATAGTTCATCAGGGCCCTGTGACCTTCCATGCTTTAAGTCTGTTGGCAGATGGACAACAGTTTTCGTCGTGATCTCAATGGGCCATGCAATTTTTGGGCATGCAATTTCTCCATATCCACAGACTCACTACCGTTATTCGAAAGCCGGTAGAAAAAAATTCGACTTGTGGATTTGTTACCCTGTTTCGGACACAACACAACCAAGCCTTAGTGGGTTTTTACTCAAGATGTTTGGCTCCCGTCCCAAGACGCTGTTCCTGGGCCAAATGTGCGCTTGGAATGTCACACTCAATTTGAGTTCTAACCAAATCACTCCGTGGTGGCAAGAATTTAGTGTCTGTAAATCGGCTCCAGACCTTAATCTGCAGCTTGCCTAGGGTCAGTTTATTTGATATTGGTAAGTGACTGATGGTGTATGTTCGTTCCATCTTCAGTAAACCGTGGTCATCCGACTGGTCGGTTCTACGCCTTTCTTACCAGCATTTACGCTGAAGCCTCATGGAAGTTAGTCACACTCAGACGGGAATCCGTACCGCCAAGGCCCAGATCTTCGACGGTTTGTTCAAACATCAATTATGTACCTGGACCATTACCTAATAACACACTCGTCTCTATGCCTCCTTTGAGACTTCTCAGCCTAACTGGAATAATACGCGAGCTAAAACCTTAAAATCCAGTGTCTCTTGTCAAATGATTTATGGATCCCGTTACGTCGACCCCACTGTCTGCTACATGCAGCACCAAGTTGCGCCTTATTTTTCCGGTCATGAACTTTATTTATTTGGTGATTTGGCCCCTCTTTAGACAAACGTTATGGATCCCAAGTCCTTTGACAACTGACCTCTCATCAATGGCGTATCCAACACTTTTAAACATCCCGGTGGGGTATCAGAGGCATGATTTGGGACGAAATTCTCTGGGCCGAGTACTGTCTTATCACCAGTCAAACTATTCACACCTTCCACCAAGTTACGAGGTGATTTTCTGCTAAACTGCCAGCCAGAACCCTTTACTCGGTCGTTCCGCAGGTTGCGCCGTGCCTGCCTTTGTCGCGCTTCTCTGGCTGTTTCATCGACAAGACAAACCAAGGTTTCAAAATCGGGTTCTTTTCTAGTAACCAAAATCTTGTCAGCTACTTTATATCACCTGTCTTGTACATCCATAGGTAACCGACCAGCAATATCTTTCAAGCTGGCCGGTGAATTATCCTCTGGCACATAACCTGTCTGTGACAATGTAATCTTCACTCTTCCTAACTTTACAGGGAACTCACCAATATCTTCAACTGAACTGCCAACCAACTTTCCGTTTCGAATCATACGAGGAAACCACAATTGCCAGATTAGGAGAGGGCACACTTTGGTAACAAGATTAGAATCACTGATATTTAAAGTCCTGAAATTATTCTGATATAAATGAGATAAGTAGATAGAACTTGGAGACGCAACAACGAGCCGAATGCCATAGATGCCTGACTACATACTTTCAGCCAAATTAGTCGTTTACGTTTGTGGAGCCAATATCAATGTTTAACGTCTCTGGACTTTATGGCTTTAGGATTTGTCCTGGTGCGAACTTGACAGAGGCAAAGACCAATCACTAATTATTCGAACTTGTTATATACCCACGAATACGAGACCAAGGAAGAACACGATAGCGTAGTCGGATGGAATAGTATATTTGGATGGTTATGCCAAAATACCGATGCGTTCCAACTAACTGGCTAGAGAGTCGAATACAAGTAGTGCAACGTAACGTGACAGCGTGCCAAATGGTAAGGATGCTTGACCGGGTGCCTTCAGCTTAGCGAGTCCAGTTAAACTATCAAGGTCAGCATCGATGTGGAGAGTCGTCAAACCCTAGGCTATTGATTTTGGGGAAGTGTGTGACGCTACATGGCATTAATTGTTTGGAACTTTTTACTCCTAAAAATCAAATAACTAAGGTGAAGAGTGAAAAGAAGCTGTATCACCTTTGTTATTTGCCCCTTGGGTTCCTGGTCCAACATGGGGCTTCAGTAGCACGTCTCCATTCCACTCTGTCCGCTCCAATCTTTTGAACCTGGCTCCACGACAGCACAGAAGCTCTCATTTCTTCCTCACACGATCTTCTCCATGTCATCCTTGAACGTCCAACTCATCGCTTCCCATCAGGGTTCCACTACAGGGCCTGGCCATGCGCGTGATATCCCTAGTCGGCCTTCCCAATGTATGCTCAGTCCATCTCAACTTCCTTCTGCATATTTGTCGGGTGATAGGTCCTTGGTTGTTTCGTTTCCGGAGTTCCCTGTTGCTTATTCTTACTGTTCTGGCCATCTGGGCTTCAGTAACGAGCCAGCGTATGCAGTTGTTGATGAGTGTCTGTAGTTTGTTGGAAATGCTATTCGCAACGCGCCAACTCTACGAAACATATAGAAGCACTGACTTAGCTGAATTAGTGTCGAAAATCCAAATGTAGTTCTTCATACTGAGTGCAGGTCTTCACAGCGGTTTCAGGTCAATGAAAGCCTATCTTGCTTTTCGAATCCTGGTATTGACATCCTCGTCTGTGCCGCCACCACCTGTAGTTGAGACGGTCCTGCCTAGATAGGTGAAGGAGGCTACTTTCTTTAAGTTTCGCCCGTTGATGGTGATTGGAGCTTGTTCTTAATGGTGGTGCTGGCTGGGTATTTTCATCACCTGTGCCTTCATGACATTCACTTGAAGTCCCGTCTTTGCTAACCTACCACTTCTGTCAACTTGTTGGTTTCCACAAATCGTCATTGGAGAAATCCAACTCAACTTCTGGAAGCTTTTCATCCATTCATCCAACGCTTGCCAATCTTCTCGCTTCTCATGGTTTGCCTCATGATCCAGTTCAGTCTAGTGCACCACAACCGGGAAGATCATGGGTGATAGTAGGCAGCCTTATCTTACTCCTGTCTTCACTTCAAAGGCATCACTGAACTTTCCACTGGGGATCACTTGGCATGTCGCGTCTTCATATAGTTGTTGAATGAGGTTGGTAAAGATTTGTGGTGCTGCGCAGTCTTGAAGCGGTTTCCAAATTTCTTCTCGGTCGACGCTAGCAAAGACCTTTTCAGGTCGGCGGAGTTGAGGTAGATAGTTGACTGACATTCCATACCCTGTTCTATGATGGTGCTTAGCGCTGCAGTTTGATCCGCACATGATTTTTTCCTCCTGAAGCCGGCCTGTTCCGGTCGTAGTTTGAATCCAGCGCATCCCTTAGTCTCTCTAGGATGATGCAGCCTAGTATTTTGCTTGCCTTGGGTGGACAGGGATGGAGCATGATTCCTCGCCAGTTCTTGCAAACGCTGAGGTCTCCCATCTTCAGGAGTTTGACAAGTTAGCCGTCCCTCCAGCAAATGGGTAGATGCCTTTCCTTCCTTCCTTCCAGACCTTCTGCAATAGTGGTGTGGGCATGTCCTCTGCTGATGTCCCTGCGTCTGTTTTCAGCGCTCCTGGAGGAAATCCAAATGGTCCTGCTGCTGCACCTGCTACCAGCAACTTTATGGCCTTCAGGACTTCGGCCTTTGTGGGAGGATTTGTGTTCACTGGTAGTTCTGTGTTCGGGTTAGACGATTTTCAGATAGTGGTCGATTCAACAGTTTTTTGAAACGGTCAGCCAACCGTTTACTTCCTTTCTTCGCTCCGTTACTTAGATTTCCTTCTTCATATTTTATTGGATACAACTGTGTTAAACTTGTACCCTTCCAGCAAATGATGGTTATCTGATACAAAGTTGGCAAGTTTCTCCTAGCAGCAGGCTCTTCGGCTTCACTTGCCAGTGTGTCGTAGAAATGTCTTTTGTCTTTCCGTACACTCTTCTTCACTTCATTGTCCAATGCAGTGTTTCGGAGGTTGGACTCAGTTACTCTCCTCGTTCCTCATCCCTCCACTGCACTCCAATGGTTCATCTTCTGGTTCACCACCATCCCCCAACCTCCTCTATCAGCCTCTATGTGTCCGTAGAGATCCATACCCTCACCATCTTTCTTCTTCCTTCACAATACGGTTGTGCAGGTATCCTTCCACGTAGCTTCCAGAGAGTTCCAGTGTTCTTCCATGCAGGTTCCCTCAGGGATGCTGCTCAATATCTCCCATTTTGTACTGATGACCGATGACGTCAAGATGTCCTTTATGGTTTCGTCCTTCAGCTTCTGTTCTGTTCCGGGTGTTCAACTTGAACTGTGGCCAAGCACCAACTTCAATGGAGGCTTTCAACTTGATTTTGAAGTCAGGTTCCTTCCACTATATAGTGAGTGGTGGGAACCACCTACATCTGCTCCCCTTCTTCACCTGATCTTATGTCCAGTGGTAGGTTGGCTGAGATGAAGTCGATCTGATTCCTAGTGTGTCTGGTGTCTGGTGAAATCAACTCCATATCGCTGCCTTGTGAATATCCTTGTGTTTGTACACACTGCACTGCCTACAATCACCAAATCGTTGAATTCGCAGGAGTCTGCAAACAGTTCTCCATTCCCGTTCATTTCACCGAGTGCCTCTCTACCCATGATGAGTTCTCCTGTGTTGTCCACTCCCATTTTGGCATTCATGTCACCCCACCCATTAGAATGAATTTTGATGTCACCATCTGAGGTGGGTGGAGTCTTGTCCACTACTGATTGTAGTTGTCTATAGAATTCCTCCTTCTCCTCTTGATCTGCATTATTTGTAGGTGCATAGCGTATTGTATAATTGTATAGTTGTGACTCTCATTCCATTTGACTTGAATCTCGCTGTCATGATCCTGATCCTGATGCTGGAAGAGATTGGTCCCCACTGCATGAGAGGGAGGCTTCGATGCTCTTGGGAGGGGGACATCATGAGAGACACTCCAAAACTCAATGTGCTCGTGGTTGTCGTTTGGGTGACAATATCGGAGTAGATAATTGACTCAACTCCAGTTGACAGTTTGGAGAGTCCACTTCCATTCCATCTGCAGGTTACTCACAGATTCCTAGCACTTCTATGCTATACCTTCTCATCTCTTCTGCAACATGGGCAGCATTGCCAGCTAGCCAGCTTCAAATATTGTTTGGATATTCCATGTCCCCATGTTTACTTTCGGTTTCATCGAGAGAGAGAGAGAGAGAGAGAGAGAGAGAAGAGACACTGGTGAATTGGTTTCTCGAATGCTTTCACCAATCGGCATCATTTTGTCTTTCCGATTCCACCGAGGAATAAGTTTATTTTTATGTTCTACATTTTCCTTGTACTTTGAAGTTTGTTTATCGATTGTATTGGTTTTCTGGGATAGTGTTGGTAGCCCTATACCCAACCTTACGTCCTAATGCAGGCACAGGACAGGCTAACAGCTAGTGAACTTGTTAACCAGGCTAGGTTATATTCTGCTTAAGGACAGCGGAATATCAAATGGTATCAACAAACATAATCCATTTAGTCATTGATATATTTTGCTGATGAAATGTGGCAAGAAATGTATCGATAACGACGATGATGGCAAAAAGAGGTAGGATAAATATAATAATGTTAACAGTGGAGAAAATGATGAAGACATGTACAGTTTACTTTTGTAGAATTCTAAAGGTAAGTATACGGCTATTCATAGGACTGATTCATGGAAATAGTGGAGAATTAACAAAGGAAGACAAACATTGGAAGAATTACGGACTGTGGTATAAAACGTAGTAATAATGAAAAGTTATTACAAGAAAAGGGATGTTATTCTCCATCGAAATAAAGGAATTCAGAAGTAATTCATCAAACCTAGATAATAAATATTATTGGATTAGGTTACAGTATCTGTCCAAATTCACTTGTTATTTCTGAGAAGCACCTGAACAGATTAGTCATCAGGATTCATTTGTATAAATGTTCCTGATTGCCCATTGTCATGCCTTCCATATCTTTGTATTCACGCATATAATTCTGAGCAGAAAGTGGTCGTTTAGATTCATCCACTTTAATATCATTCAGACGCTGTGGTTGTGAATAGAATTCTTTAAAGTTTCTTTTATCCATAGCTGAAAAAACAAATTGAAATAAAGTTTATAAAAAGGCAAACTCCTTAGTGCTTATATCATACCTAATCAATATAACAAAGAGAGTCAGAGTTCTTTTCTCCGATTATTTTTGTCTTGGGATTCGATGGATTGTATTCTTGGTTATGTTGATCAGATAAGTATACGTGTAATTTTAAGACGTTAACATGCCTAACTAATTCAACTTCATTGAACGTAACACTGAAAGATGTTAACAATGAAGCGTATGGGTAGCTGTTGTCAGATTGTGACTTTGGTTCACATGAAATAAACAACCAACAACAAGTTCATATGTGACTTTTGTTGTGCTACATTAAGTTAAGTTTTAGCTAGGCTGCCAATGATGTAAACATTTGAATGTTGAACTACGAGAGAAAATAATTTAAAGCCCGAAAAAAACAGTATAAAGCATCATGTTACCATAGTTCACAGTTGCACAGAAATTTAAAAATCATTAGGAAACAGAACAAGTGAGTGACAGTTTACAGAATGTTTAAAGTTTTGTTGATGAACAGTGAATGGATCTGCGTCGGTGCGATGATACAAATGAGAGTATCTAGCTACTATTTGTTAATATCTTGATATCCTTACCTATGTCACAGTCAAACAATAGGTTACATCAATTTCTTTAGCTTACCAGGTGAAGCATTATGTATACTTTATTGATTTTAGTGTATGTCACAAACATAAAACACTGATCGTTTAAAGTCCGTTTCATTCCGTAGTGAAGTGTGCCATTATAAGTGGAATTAATAATTCGCGCTGACTAAGACAATGGTTCTCCTGGACTCATAGGCAGAACATGAATTCCAATTGCAGTTCATATATTCACACAGTTCAGTCACTTCAAGCAGTTCTCGAAAATAATTTAACCAATCTCAAGTACTTAATATTACGTAAGTGTGTTTACAGTAGCATAGTCAAAGTAGCACTGGAAAAAATTATCAATAAGATTGTAGTGTTTTTAATGGTAGTGGAGATCAGGGATAACCAATGGCAGTGTCATGACATGGGCATACAAGTACATTATGTGAATTAGATTTAGCCTTCAGGCGAATGTCTCTGAAGGCCACCATAGCAACTACCGAGGTTACCAACTAGATTCCTGTATTTTTTGAAAAACTACCTTCCCTGCCAGAATAATGAAATCTGATTGACGGTTTCAACAGTTTCTAGGGTGGGCTTGAAATTTACTTCTTAGGAATAAATGAGTTGGTTGAGCCTCTGGTAGGCACATCTGATCATTACAGATTGGAGCCTTGGCCAACGTTTGATAACCTTGAATGATACATAATAGTTGATTCTCAAACATAACTTTAGCCGTTTGATTAATTTTAGACGTTGAAAATCCCACCGTGATCAGTACCTTAATGCGTGAATGTAAATTTTGTTGAAATCTCAGGTTTTGGAGAAAATGACTAGTTACCGTTACTTGATACTCGTAATTTCTCTTTGTCATACGAGGTAGAACTGCTCGATCTGTGCTGGCAGATGGGATCCTATGTGGAGGCCTCGACACTACCGAATATTCATGGTATTTCATTCGTCTTGGTGACTAACAGTAGAATCTAGGGGGCACGTTTTATTTCGGGTTTGGATCACAACGGGTACTCAGAGCTGCACACACATCCCAGACAGGACGAAACACATCCTGGGTTCCACTGCAAGTTGTCAAGATGAATATCATGATTAGTCACTGTTGGCCGGTTGTTTCAAAGGATGGAGTGATGTAAGCAGTTCCTCCCATTAACGTTTATTTGACATATCTTCATGCATTTTAATGGTCTTCACACACTGAGAATAAAGTAGTTTTTTTCATTTTTATCAGTGTCCTATAATCTTTTGTAAATTAAGTTTTGCATTATAGTCTAACACAGACGACACAACACAGATTCATGAATGTCATGAGGCACTGATAGTGTTTCCACTTAGATTTCCATTTCGAAAATGATCTTCCATTTGTTTGCTCGAAGGTAAACAGAGTATTAACCATTATTTTCACTGTACATCAGCAGCTAAGAAATGATCCTGTCAAAAAGAAAGCTTGAGGTTTATTGATCGAAAAGAAAGATGTTTATAAGCTTGCCTAGTTTACTAGTTCACTACTTTACTAGACAACCCCGCTTGGCTAACTAGTTCACTAGTTACTAGCCGGTCCAAAGCCAGGTTATAGAGGGAAGGTTGGGCATAGGGATAGCAACCCTACCCCGGAAAACAAATCTAACCGCTATGGAAACCTCAAAGCACAAACGACATATAAAAAACAATAACAAAATTATTCCTCGCTGGAATCGGAGAGGCGAAATGGCGCCAGTTGGTGAAAGCCTTCGGGAGGCCGATTGGCCGATGTGTCCACTCTCGATGAAAGTGAAAGTTAACGTGGGGACATGGAATGTCTGCACCATGTTTGAGCCCAGCAAAGTAGTTCAGACTGCAAACGAGATGAAGAGGTATCACATTGAAGTGCTTGGAATTTGCGAAAGCAGATGGAATGAAAGTGGGCTCTCCAGACTGTCAACTGGAGAATCAATAATCTACTCCGATATTATCACCCAGACGACAACCACGAACCAGTACACTGTGTCATGGAGTGGCTATCATGATGTCCCCAAGAGCATCGAAGGCCCTCACGCAGTGGGAACCAATCCCCTCCAGGATCATGACAGCAAGGTTCAACTCAAAAGGAAGGAAGGTCACAATCATACAATGTTATGCACCTACAAATAATGCAGATGAAGAGAAGAAGGAGGAATTCTACAGACAACTGCAATCAACACTGGACAAGACACCGCTCAAATTGGTGATATCAAAACTCTAATGGGCGACATGAATGCCGAACTGGGAGCAGACAACACAGGAAGAGAACTAACCATGGGTTGAGAAGCGCTCGGTAGGGTGATGAACGAGAATGGAGAATTGTTTGCAGAATTCTGCGAATTCGACGATTTGGTGATTGGAGGTGAGGCAGTGTGTTCAAACACAAGGATATCCACAAAGTGACATGGGTTTCACCAGACACCTGACACACTACAAATCAGATCGACTTCATGTCAATGCGAAGAAAGTGGAGGTGCAGCCTACTTGACACAAGATCAAGAAGGGGAGCAGATCTAGGTTCACACCACTCACTATCTAGTGCAAGGAACCTTCCAAACCAAGTTGAAAGCCTTCAAGGAAGCTGGTGATAGACCGCAGTTCAAGTACAACACCCAGAACAGAAACTGCACTGAAGGACGAAACTACAAAGAACATCTTCACATCAGTCAGCCATCAGACAAAATGGGAGATATCGAGCAGCATCCCTGAAGAAACCTGTGTGGATTAACACTGGAAGTCTTTGAAAGAGATGTGGAAAGAAACCTGCATAACCGTGTTAGGAAGGAAGAAGAAAGAAGACAAGGAAGGAATGGATCTCGACGGATACATGGAAGCTGATAGAGCAGGGAGAGGAGGATGGTGAAGCAGAAGATGAACCAGTGCAGTGCAAGGATGCTCAACGAAAAGAGGAACTGAGCACAATGTATAAAACACTGGACAAAGAAGTGAAGACGAGTGCACGCAAAGACAAAAGGCACTTCTAAGAAACACTGGCAAGTGAAGCAGAACAGGCTGTAGGTAGGAGAGATAGAGACCTGACAACATTGTATCAAATAACCAAGTTGCTATCTGGGAGGGAAGAGATCAACGCAGACGAAACCAATAAAAGATGATGACGGAAATTTAATTACGAAAGAAGAGAAACAAAGGAAACGATGGGTTGAACACTTCAAGAAGCTCTTGAATCGATCACCACCACCACCTGCACTTCGTCCAGAAATACCACCTGCAGCCGCTGAACTACAAGTGAACATAAATCCACCAACAAAAGTGGAAGTCCTGAACGCCATAAAGCTACTGAAATGCGGCAAAGCAGCAGGACCAGATGGGATCCCGCCAGAAGCACTGAAAACAGACGCAGAGACAACAGCGGACATGCTCACACCATACCACTATTGCAGGAGGTGTGGAAGGAAGAGAAGGTACCTGGCTAGTGATTGGAAGAAGGGTTACCTTGTCAAACTGCCGAAGAAGGCAGACCTCAGTGTTTGCAAGAACTGGCGAGAAATGATGCTCCCGTCGTCCCAAGGCAAGCAAAATATTAAGCCACATCATCCTGGGGAGGCTAAAGGATGCACTCGATTCAAAACTACGACCTGAACAGGCAGGCTTCAGGAAGTACAAATCATGTGTGGACCAAATTGCAACGCTTTGCATCATCATAGAAGAGAATATAGAATGGTAGTCAACCCTCTACCTTACCTCAACTTCATCAACTTGGAGAAGGCCTTCGATAACAATAATAATAATAATACTATACTAGACGCATAGAGTGGGAGGATTGAGCACAGGGCTACCAACACTATCCCAGAAAACCAATACAATCGATAAACAAACTTCAAAGTACAAGGAAAATGTAGAACATAAAAATAAACTTATTCCTCGGTGGAATCGGAAAGACAAAATGATGCCGATTGGTGAAAGCATTCGAGAAACCAATTCACCAGTGTCTCTTCTCTCTCTCTCTCTCTCTCTCTCTCTCGATGAAACCGAAAGTAAACATGGGGACATGGAATATCCAAACAATATTTGAAGCTGGCTAGCTGGCAATGCTGCCCATGTTGCAGAAGAGATGAGAAGGTATAGCATAGAAGTGCTAGGAATCTGTGAGTAACCTGCAGATGGAATGGTAGTGGACTCTCCAAACTGTCAACTGGAGTAGAGTCAATTATCTACTCCGATATTGTCACCCAAACGAAAACCACGAGCACATTGAGTGTTGGAGTGTTTATCATGATGTCCCCCTCCCAAGAGCATCGAAGCCTCCCTCTCATGCAGTGGGGACCAATCTCTTCCAGCATCAGGATCAGGATCATGACAGCGAGATTCAAGTCAAATGGAATGAGAGTCACAACTATACAATTATACAATACGCTATGCACCTACAAATAATGCAGATCAAGAGGAGAAGGAGGAATTCTATAGACAACTACAATCAGTAGTGGACAAGACTCCACCCACCTCAGATGGTGACATCAAAATTCATTCTAATGGGTGGGGTGACATGAATGCCAAAATGGGAGTGGACAACACAGGAGAACTCATCATGGGTAGAGAGGCACTCGGTGAAATGAACGGGAATGGAGAACTGTTTGCAGACTCCTGCGAATTCAACGATTTGGTGATTGTAGGCAGTGCAGTGTGTACAAACACAAGGATATTCACAAGGCAGCGATATGGAGTTGATTTCACCAGACACACTAGGAATCAGATCGACTTCATCTCAATGTGAAGAAAGTGGAGAGGCAGCCAACCTACCACTGGACATAAGATCAGGTGAAGAAGGGGAGCAGATGTAGGTGGTTCCCACCACTCACTATATAGTGGAAGGAACCTGACTTCAAAATCAAGTTGAAAGCCTCCATTGAAGTTGGTGCTTGGCCACAGTTCAAGTTGAACACCCGGAACAGAACAGAAGCTGAAGGACGAAACCATAAAGGACATCTTGACGTCATCGGTCATCAGTACAAAATGGGAGATATTGAGCAGCATCCCTGAGGGAACCTGCATGGAAGAACACTGGAACTCTCTGGAAGCTACGTGGAAGGATACCTGCATAACCGTATTGTGAAGGAAGAAGAAAGATGGTGAGGGTATGGATCTCTACGGACACATAGAGGCTGATAGAGGAGGTTGGGGGATGGTGGTGAACCAGAAGATGAACCATTGGAGTGCAGTGGAGGGATGAGGAACGAGGAGAGTAACTGAGTCCAACCTCCGAAACACTGCATTGGACAATGAAGTGAAGAAGAGTGTACGGAAAGACAAAAGACATTTCTACGACACACTGGCAAGTGAAGCAGAACAGGCTTCTATGTCGTGGTTGAGATTGTTGGCTCGTCACGTAAAGTATTTGGAGCGAGCTGCAGACATGTGTCATCAACAGCTGCCGCTACGCTTGCTCACTTGATACTGAAGTTCAGATGAGATTAGATGGCCAGAAGAATAAGAATAAGCAACAGGGACTCTGGCTGGCCCATAAACGAACCAACCAATAGCCTATCGCCTGACAAATATGCCGAAGGAAGTGGAGATGGATTGGATTGGACATACACTGAGAAGACCCTTTAAGGGGGATATCACGCATCAGGCCAAGTCGTCGAAAGGAATCGAAATGGGAAACTACTAGTTGGGTTTCCGTGATGGGGAAAAATGTAAGCATCTGGGCAGCGGTGGAGCCAGTTGGAAAAGAATGCAGAGAAGAAAATGAAATGGAGACGTGCTACTGAAGCCCTATGTTCCACTAGGGTCCCGACAGACAAATAATAATAAGCTGATTATAGATATTAGAAAACCTAGCTCCCCAAGTTTGTGAATTTATTGATACTTATCAACGAGGAGTATTTGGTATTTCAGTGTGAGCTGTACTCAAGCGGAAGTACGAACAGTTTATGTAGTGAAATCTTTTAAGCTGAGAAATAACACCTACTGACCTCTGACACAGTACCTTGATGTTTAGCAACTTATTCCGTAACTAGAAGGAACCTGTCCATGTGTTCATATTCTTGGAATTATAGACTAGGACAAGAAAAGTATTATGAAGATTGTATTGACTTGTAACTAACTAGCAAGGAAGACATAGAAGTGCGATGGATGGAAGACAATTGTCGGTCACTTTGACTGTAACCGCCACATTCTCGAAGACTCGAATATAGTTGCTTCCTAAATATGGTTTCACAGATGCGAAATCAACTGGCTCCTCATTGGTGGTAATTATCAAGGATTCGATAATTAATGTTGAAATTTACACAAGCAAACCATGAGATGTGATTCTTATGCGTAACCTGATTTTCATTTTCATAAAGTATCTCAGAAGTATTTTAAATTTAGGTCATTGTACCTCCTGTTCACTTTATCCCAATGTTCATAACAGTAACTGGTTACATTTCAGTTCAGTTTCATTCTCTCATATACCTTGGAATAGTGAAATGAGACCTTTAGTTCTTCATATATTCAACGAATTCCCTCTTGTCCGTTTTTGCGGTAACTTTTAAGTAATATATTACATATAAAATGGCACGTAGAAATAGTACGTTAGATAAAGGCAAGAGAATTTACAAGTCATTAATGAAGCTATTTCCTGTTTCGATGACTTTTCATTTTTATAATTTCAAATCAGAGTAGCAAAATGATTGAAGGTACACACAACTTACCGATTAAATCATTAATTGGACCATTTTGTCCACCGTATTCCTCAGGCATTACATTTTGTAAACCAGGTATTTTCTTAAATGCCTTTTCTTTATCATCTTTAACCCTTAAAATCTAATCACAAAATTCAAAAAAAGTGTTGAAATGATTAGATTAATCATTGAAATCATGTGACGAAACTAATTCTAGTAAAAGGTTTGTTGAATCACGTTGTCAGGTCTGTAAAGATGCTTTTATCAAGAGATAACTTTTGATACTGTCAGAAAAGTGGGAGAAGAAAGGCACTCAGCAACCTGGTCTACATTCGTGTGCTAGGTAATGAGCCAAACCTAGTGTGTGAGGACTGGTGATACTGCTTGACTATCTGAACCTCGGTAGATGGGGCGGGTTTCGAACCTGCTATCCACTATTTTTTATTATTATTCCTTTGGGTTCCTAGTGATATATGGGGCTTCAGTTGCACACCTCCATTTCACTCTATTCTCTGCAGTCATTTCAACCTGGCGCCACGACTGCGCACAAGCTTTCATTTCTTCCTCACATAATCCACATATCACCCTCGCCTCGCACGACTAAATCGTCACTTCCCCTTTGGATTCCACCCAAAAGGCTTGGCCTGACGCGTGACGTCCCTAATCGGTCTTCTCAGTGTACGCCTAATCCATCACCATTTTCTTCTGCATATTTACTGGGTGATAGGTTTTCGGTTGGTTCGTTCTCAGAGTTCCTTGTTGCTTATTCTTTTCGGCCATCTGATCTTCAGTATCGAGCGTAGGCGGCAGCTGTTGATGAATGTCAGGAGCTTGTTAGAAATGTCTTTCGTGACGCGCCAAGTCTCTCAACCATCACATAGAAGCACTGACTTGACGTTGGTGTTTGAAAATCGGAGTCTTGTTCTTTAGGCTGAGTGCAGTAGATCTCCACTTTGGTTTCAAGTTAATGAAGGCCTGTCTTGGTGTCTTTCCAATCCTGGCTTTGATACCCTCATCTGTGCCGCCGCCTGTAGTTGAAACGATGCTGACTTGCTAGATGGGTGAAAGAGACAACTCCCTTTAGGCTCTTCCCGTTGATAGTGATTAGAGCTTGTTGTTGTTGTTGTTGTTGTTAGTGGTGGTGTTGGTTGGGATCTTCATCACCTCCGTCTTCTCTACATTCACTTGAAGTCCCGTCTCCGCTGCCCAGCCTCTTTCGTCAACTTATTGGTTTTTGCCTGTAGGTCTTCGAGTTTGTGCGACATTAAACATAAATCTTCGGCGAAATCCAACTCTTCTTCTGGGGTCTATTCATCCGTCCACCCAGCGTATGCCCATCTTCTCGCTCCTCACTGTTTGTTGCACGATCCAGTTCAGTCCAGTAGACCACAATCAAGAAGATCATGGGTGATAGTAGACGGCAACCTTGTCTTACTCCTGTCTTCACCTGCTATCCACTAGCTGAATCTTTTCTCCCTTTAGTGTTGTAGCAATTTGTGAACTAGGTGTTTCATTTGTGAGGCTTTTATTGTTGTTTTATCGCAGCATCAAAGGGCGGGAAATCTGTCATTTCAGTTAGTCTTGACTGTAACTGGTTGTTCATGGAGACTTTTTATTCATTATAAGTGTTATTTTTTTGAAAAGTCACCCATCCACTCTCCGGTTCCGATTTCCAGATTACCTTATCTTCTTAGTGTTAATTAACTTTTATCGATCGCCTTCTATTATTCATCGTAATTACATTCTTTATGTTGGGATTTCTTCTTTTTTTTCCTTCCAGATTGTTGTGTTGGATGAGTGATTGGACACCGTTAAATTTATATACACTTTTCTGCACATATCCCCTCTGCAGCAACATAACTACAGACTAGACGAATACTTACCAAGAGTTAGTTGTTACCTAAGAACCTGAATTCTATTTGAGTATTTCGCTGTCTTGACATTTGACCTTGTAACAAGAGATATTGCTTCAGTATATCAAAACACTTATATCCAATGCAGAATATGCCTGAATTTTTAGGAACAAAGTTCTCAGAACTTAGTTTTCAACGGGATATTTGGAGTAATTTTAAGATTTACCATGTTTTGTAAGAGTCTAGTGCTTGTTTTACCTGATTAAAAAACAGTTTGTATGTCCTTGCCAAGAATTGGTGTATGTCTACATGCAGATGGTATATATCAAAACGTTCACAACTCCTTGGATTTTAATGTTAGAATCGGTGATGCTTTTTGTTGTATCCTTAACTAGCTGAACAACAGTCATATTCTGTTGATTTGCAAACTACATCCTGTTAATAGTTTGCAACCTTTATTTATCAATCAGAAGTGTCTTTAGCGAGCAACCTAACAGCAAGTGAAATAACCAATCAAGTTTCAGTATTTCAAATTGGATGGTAGTTCTTCATAAAATAAAGGAATATAATTGGCCATTTTATCAGTTGTTCGGTTGGTCTTTAAAGTCACCTTATTTGACTATACAGTTGTCGTTGTTGTTGTTCGTGGATATCGAATTCAGTTTGTGAGTTCTTGCTGGGTTTTTAACCATTTAAGAATACGTTTAAAATGTACTCCAGTAACTACTGAAATATCATTCAGTAAATGATAATGGATCATTATGTGTTATATTAAATGAACCATATAATGTGAAATTACGCACTACCACAATTTTCAAGTACTACTTTTATCTTGATGAAAATTCATCCCTTAGCCAAGCTTGTAGTCATATTACCAGGTGTTTACGAAATCAAATGTAATCCCTTTACCTATTACAAGCTGCCTTGTATTTTTCTCCTACACAAGTCGAAAAAATGCATTAAATTCATCGAAAATATCTTACACGTTGACGCATTTTATCGCTTAACCAAAATTCAAAAACTTTGAAAGCAATATCGAATGCTTTTGATTCTTTATAGAATATAAGATGTTTTGTACGTCCAGGAGTAGCTTCCTAAAATGATAATAGTACAATATTATTGATTAGATGATCTAAGATAACTGTGATTTGGTAGACTAATATTCTGGGTATGGGCTGATGACTGAAGGTTGGATGAAAACCCAAGCTGTAACAGGATTTAAAACAGTGGCTTCAGTAATATTTAGTGATCTGGAACTCTGCCGAATGTTTTGTGAGATACAGCTGTGAAAGTGACGAGTAGGTAATCTGAAGACCATTTATTCGATCCCTGCCACAACCCAGGCACTCATTTCACCTTCAATCATTTCCCGGTGTCAATGAAATATTAATTAGGGAAAAATAAAATACAATGTCCAACTTTATACTTTTTTAAAATAATAATTAGCCATTAGTCTGTATTACCAAGAGGCAGTTAGCATGGCATTGTCGAAGTTGATAGAAGTAGACTGTGTTTAATTGTTGAAACAAACAGCAATATTTTTTTGCTTTTGTCTACATTTGTATTTGTCCTATTATTGAGATTGGGAACCATAGGCAGCTGGCTTTATTTATATTATAATTTCTTTTATTGATTGGACCTAACTGGCTGGTCTTTATTGGTACATAGACTGATGTGCGGATGCCTTACTATTGCCTGTAATTTCAGTTCGATAATAATGATGTATATGTTAATAGAGATCAATCAGTTCGCTTCAATCAACGATGCACAATTAAAAGCAATAACATGAAAACTATACTCTATGGGATAAGTAACAGCTGTGATGACTCAGTGGTGTAGTGAAGCGATACACCCCAGGTTCGAGTCTGAGTGGTGACAAGGTCACTCACTAGAAGGTTGACAAATCTAGCTGAGGAGCTCAAGGTAAAAAGAAATGCGCGTCTTGGATTCCACTGTTAGCCACTACCTATAATTATTGTCAAACTAGTCTTATTGTTACAGCATTTTCCACCAAACTGATGTGATAAAGTACCCAACGTTTTTGCAAAGTGAACTGTTGAAAATTATGGTTAACAGTGTCCTTCTGTTGATTTACTGGACTTCTACTGTTGGTATCTAACACATGTTTGCATAGAATCTTAGATAGTATTACTGGTCTCAGTTAATCGTTATGTTATGCTATTTAGCTAACTGGTTACACCTCATTTTTGGGCAGATCAGCTTTAATCGATACTGAAAACAGAAACATCGTCTTTTCTGTCATCCATTGCAGGATTTATGTACGGGAAAGACTAGATTCGTAGCTTTTTACAGATGATTTTCACCACAGGACAAATCACGAGCTAATACTATTCTGAAAGAAGAACACTCTTCTCAATAAGTTCTCATCAGGTTCTACAGCTATAAAATACAATTTTACACTGTAAAACAAACTAAGTTTAAGGTGAGTACATTCTCAAAATGGGATATGACTAAGAGACTGTAAAAATTTTTCAATATTAAGATGACATAAATACAGATGAAGAATGTGATGGTAAAAGAAAGAGACAACGAATATGAAAGACAAGATTCGATCTATAGTTTATTGAAGACCAAAGGATGAACAAGTATTGAACATATTCTCTTTGAATGTCAAATTCAGGTTTGGTCAATCTTATTGAGATAACCTCAGCTACATTGAGCAGAGGTTGGCTAGTTACATACATGTGGTATTATTATTGGTACACAAGGTATGATATTAAAAGCTTTATGTGATACTCTGTGTCTACTAGGTGGACTGGGATGAAACTTTTCACCTCTTTCACTTCACCTTTTTCAAAGCAATTTGATAAATGTTTTTGTTTTCGGAAATACACTTACCTAATCTTCCACCCTATGTAACTTGTTCCACAGGAATACTTAAATTGATATATACAAGATGAGAAGTTAAAATCATGTTGGCTATCCCAGAGTCTTTTCTCTTACCATCATATTCTTCATCTATATGATTATATGTCATATTAATACAAACAAATTTAAAAAGAAAAATTGGTTTCCTTGCAATCCTTAAATCTTATTCCATTTTGAAAATGGTTTTATCTCAAATGTAGCGATTTTTATCCTGTAAAATTTCATTTTATGATTCCAGAACCTAATGAGAACTTGTTGAGAAAAATGTTCTTCGTTAAAATTACACTTAATTAATGCTATGAGAAATCAGTTTTTAAGTTTTGTGGGTATTTATTGGCTTTAAATTGGTATTCATCATGAATTTACGTTACACTTAACATTAATGAACGATTGAAGATCAAGGAGACTTTTTTAAGTCATTATTTGAGATTTCAATACGACGAATTCTTTGATATGAATGTCTGATACAATCAGGAAGATATTATTACATCTGAGTAGACTATCCAGCGATACAGTTCTTTATTTAGTTCATACTACTCATCTTTATCGCTCAAGACATAGGTTTCACCTCAGATTTACGTGTCACATGCTATAACAGTCTGTCACAACACACGTTTTCTTTCTGCTTCATATGTCATCCTCATTTACAGACGTCAGTTCACCAACCAGGTTAATATGAGATTATCATTACTACTGAAATATCTTACTTTTATCCTACTATTACACAAAATATCATCGAATCAAGTGATCCATTTCTACTGTTTCTAACTTCAACGATTGTGAACGTACTTTGTAGTTGCTGTTAACCTTGGGAACACGGTCTAATTCAATTAAATAAAGACATAATCGAGGATAATTTTGATGTTCAGCCTTTTATTCACTGTTCCACAGCACATGAACCTATCCTTTGAATATTTTCGGAACAGCAATATTGTGCAGGCAAGTAATTTAGGTTGAAAAATAAAATTTTGTATTTCTGAGTTCACACATAGTATAGCATGCATCAGTTAATGGTTGCTAGTGATCGAGGTATTCGACCTCAAACCGGTGACGTCACCCATACTAACCTCGTACCACCTACCAAGGTTTGGGTAGCCAGGTAGTATCATTAACCTTTATGCAATAGGTAAAACTTGCTGTTTAGTGCATGAGAATGCACGTGGTTACTGAGTGCATTTTGATTTCCAATGACTGAAGCATTTTATCATATTCTCTGCACACTATAGTTGGGCAGTTGAAAAACCATTCACCTATGAGAAATGTCATCGTGAACTGTGCACTTCATCAATAATTTACAAAACTATCATCCTATTTAAGGCATACCAATCATTTCAAGTCAGCAAGGCAGGCTCAAGTAGTCTGAAAGATTTAGCTACATGAACTGAATTTGTCTGGATAGACCTCTGATGTTCTGGATTTCAAACAGACGAAACGTCTCCGATCCGACTAGTGAATGCTGCCATGTTACTCATGTTGTTCAGTAGTACACTTCACTAAAAGACATAGTATAACTGTTGAAATATTTCTAGATGCTTATCAGAGCCATACTTTTTGACAGAAGAAGTACAATTAGACAGAATATAAATGCTACGAATCAACACTAAAATATTCAAATCAGATAACCGTAGTCTTAAAATATTAAAACAATTGTTATGCGATACGTGCACACTACTGACCAAATAATCAGTATTTTAAAAACGTTTCATAAATTAGTAAAAACCTAGTCACAATCAAATGGTCGTCGGACTCAACAGAGGAAGGTAGCTGGTTAGTACTGGAAACACTTTAATTCAGACATAAAAAAACTCTAATGAGTCGTATGACTGGTAATAGAGTGCTTGTTCGATTCAATTAACACAAAATTTCTAATCTTCATTTTATTTTTACCTGCAATAGTTTCATTGCTCTTTTAGCTGTCTTAGCATCTGTCCAATCACCAATTTGCTTGGAGGTTGCATTTGATAGATCAATAAAAATGCCAATCCCGCCAATTTGGGATCTTTCATCGACAATGAATCTTTCAAAACTCATATTATTCATAGCTCTCATTTTTACTTGTGGTAGACGTTCCGAATGCCAAGCATCTTAAATAAAATTTACAAGTATTGAAACTTACTCAACCTGAGCAGAAACATTTGTACTCCACTATCTATAATCCCCAGAGGTACCAATATTCTGGTAGTTTGAAATGAGACAACAAAAAAACATGTATCAGATACTTTCAAGGAAATCTCATGGTCTTTTTTAATAATGTATACTGGCTGATTTAAACAAGGATTGACGAAATATTCATTCATCATAATCAATTCCTCAGAAGACTGTTGCACATGTACTCGGATTTCAAATTGATGCTTCATGTGTTTATCGACCAATTCAGTTGCTTTCATCAGCCGTTGGTTGTCGTTAAGCTATGCTTGTTTTAAACAACGACCTTGAGAGATACATCGAAGGGGCTTTAATTACTAAAATGTTCAGGTTTTTTCACGCAGATCAGGAGTATGTGAAGCGGCGAGTAGATTCTGATCACTATCCGTGTGTGAATACGAAGTGATGATGAAAGTCTTTGAAACTAGGTGTGCAAAATGACTGTATAGCTCAACAACATGACATTGTAATGAACATTGTTTACTGCTCAGTCTTCGAATTCACTTGGCATGAAGTGATCTATCTGGGTTTCACGCCCAAAATATCTTGTGATGGAAAGATAAATGGACCGCCGAGGGAACTCCTGTTCGGTATTATATTTGAATCTGTATTACCATAGCTAAAAATCGTAACTGATTTTCTCTGTAACATAGATACCTCCGTACTACTGGTTTTAGTCATAGTTCATGCAACTTAAAACCATAAAGTACAGAATATCTTATAATCTTGAGGGTCGAAGCAAGTAATTTTCGGGTTCCATAGGTAGTTAAGGAGTATACAAAGTCACTGAATGCATAGATTTGTTTGATATCCTGGTTTGACAACACTACAGTTTATTTTAATTCTCTTCTTGCCAAAGTTGAGTTACACTGTAGCGAAATATTTCACAGCATATATATCATATCATCATAAGATAACACTATAAAATTCAACAGGATTCCGGGATTTACATTCACTCCTCTCGAAAGAAACGGTCAAAATTAATTCCATGTTCAATTATTTTAAGTTTCATTAGAGCTTAGTAGAAACTTATTATTCTTTGTCAATAAAACCTATCAAAAAAAGTTAAGTATTATTGCTTGTGTTATACCTAGCTGACGAGTCCCAAACAGGACGAAATGCGCATTCTGGGTTCCACTGTTAGCCACTACACATCATTACTATGCATAATTAAAACACAGTCAATATCGAGGCGTTCGTACAGGACCCCAAATGCCAACAGAGACTGATTAGTTCGGTCCAATCAACAACGGTATAATACAAGCAACAACATTAAAACTATACCCATCAGGCAAGAAGCAGTTATCGCTGCTCGGTGGTCTAGTGGATGATGACCTGGCGTTCCGAGCTACCGGTCCCGCGTTAGAGTCCGGGTGGGGACAATACTTGCTGCTAGGCAGGTATATTCAGCTGACGAGTCTCGGAAAGGACGGGATGTGGGTCACCTGGTCCACTAGTAGGCACTGTCCACCATAAGAATCTCTTCAAATATCATGAGACGAGTGTGTTGAAATAAAGCTGTTGGTTTATAGAAGCACATATCTTGTTCCTTTTGTTGGTCATTATTACTGTTGTTTTATGAGTTCTGTCTTCCCATCCCACTTGCTAAGATACTCATAATAAACGAGTGATTTTAGGAAACAATGAGGATAAAGCCGAACGAAGAAGGAATCTCACACTTTGTGTGAAGGGTTATCCTTCAAGAAGCAGTTGCTCTACGATACTGTAGAATAGTGAATGTGATTCTCTAGCTAAAGGATACAACTCGATGATATTCAAGGTTTCGAGACACTTAACAGTAACTCTTATGTTTAGGTTTTATAGTTTCCTCAACTTATCAACGAGAAGAAATGACAACTTTACGAGTACTAGAACTCCGTTTGATACTGAAATATATTGTTCAGTTAGAAAAGCTTTTTTTCATAGAACAATGTAACAAACTAATCTGAAGGTAACACTAGGTAGTACAAAGTCAGTTATTCTGAGGATATTATGGCAGTGAAGTTAAGTCCTGTAGACTGAAAAAACTGTTAAGAAAAAGTGGATTATTATTGTACAGCGTAGAAATATGCAGCTCAAAGGAGATAGTTACTTTATTGATACATTAGATAAATAAGCCAATAATGAGTAGGAAGCGTGAATTATTATATCATGTGGTTTGTTGTTACTACTACTTTAGTAAGAATAAATAAAAAACTTAGAAGGACAAAAGTGTAAGGTAGGTAGGTAGATAGGCTATATGGATACTGAAGACAAAAGAGTGAAATTGTACTGACTTTGTGTTTGAACACACAGTTTCGACTCGTTCAAGGCAACCTCCAACAACTGCTGTTTTGCGTAAACCACGTATTCTTACAGTATAAATAAGATGAAATAACAGCCTACTATAACTTTCAAACTATACTACTACTACTGGATAACTTGAATAGTATTTATACTGGGTGATGATTAAAGGTGAAATGAGGTACAGCATCGAACCGGGAACCCAGTGGTTGCTGGTTCGAATTACCCGTTGGTTCAAATTTTCATTTCACCTATTACCTATTACTCAATATAAGTACTAGTCTGCCAAACTACGGCTATCTCGGATAGTCAAAATGATAACTTGCACAAATAAGCACTCAGGCTAATCTGTAGATCTGACTAGTATAACTTTTATAGTTTTATTATTGGTAATGATTACCCTAATTGTTACGATTACTTATCATCCTTCTAATATCCATTCAAAATTACTTATTGATAAAACTGTCACCTTTCAGGTAAGTCTTAGATGTTAGCTTCACTCCGATGGTGAAGGGCTAAATGAAGAGAAATATTTCTTCGTTCAAAATGTCCTATTGACACCTTTCTCATCCTTCAGTGTTGAAATCGGAGAAGAAAATCATTTAAGGCATTCTAGGAATTTCAATTGACATGAAGATGAACAATAAGTTCATGAAAAATGAAACACTTGATCATGAATTCATTTTAATGATTTGTTACGATCAAGTGGTCTCATTTTGGTAATCATCACAAAGTGACATCATTAAGAGAACCTATTAAAACCTGAAAGTATTGAAAAGCTGTTTCATCCCATTATGAGACTTCTTGTCAATGTGAATTCATCACCCCGTTGGGGATCGAACCCAGGACCTTTCATGGTGAGAAACTCATCACTCAACCACTGGTTTAGAATCCAATAGTTCATATTTTCCTATTTGTGTCATTTTGCAACATAGTATAACCACCATTCGATTTCATCATTCAGTTCTTGTCCTTACATTGAACCTATATTTTCCCCATAGATCATGACTTCTTGTTAAAGCTTCAGGAAATACCACTTGAAGCATGTCACTAATGAGACTATGTTTTTATTATTTATTATTTGTTCTTTGGGTTCTTGATGTAACATAGGGCTCCAGTTGCACGTCTCCATTCTACTTTCTTCTCTGGAGTCTTTTCAACCTGACTCCACCACCGCTCAGAAGCTTTTATTTCCTCTTCACACGATCTCCTCCATGCCACCCTCGAACATCCAACTCGACGTTTCCTCTCTAAGTTCCACTCGACGGCTTTACCTGACGCTTGATGTCCCTGAATAGTCTTCTCAGTATATATCCAATCCATCTCCACTTTCAGTGAGACTATGTAGTAATTCAACTTACAGGTCTGAGAGGATTGGCTGATTTCAAGTCAGTGTTTATCACTGACCGAAACCAGTTTTGAAAACTTTGAAGCACTGGATATCTTTTTCGTCCTGTTATGGGACCTCTAGGCAGTATAGACCCTTAATTCAGTCGGAGATTGAACTGAAGACCGTTAGGTTTTATTGCGAGTACGTTATATTGATATTTGTAATTTCTAACTTTCTTTTTCAACTACTTGACAATGAAGATATATCGGTGTAGAAAAACCTTGACGAAGTTGTCATATTTAGGCTTCAATATTGTAAATTCCTGTTTACTGTTACTTTGATAAGGTTATCTATCACATTTGCCATGTTACCAACCACTAGGCTAAGTGATGCTGAATAGCGATGTCCTATATCTTGATGTTAAATGTCAGGAGTCAAACGACAGGAACATCAGTTTCTTCATGTTTTTGGATATACCTTGCCAATGAGTGCCAACAAGCTCAAAACACAATTCCAGTTTCTCTATCATTTATCCAATGCTTCAAAATTTTCCCAATCATTAAATTTCAATAATAACACTTACCCAGATTGAAAATATTCATCAACAATAGGATCAGTCAATTCAGGATAATCAAACCATTCTGTCATTCCATGTTTATCTGAACAGCGTATACTGCAGAAATTGTCGATACGTTTCTGTGCAGTTGCATGATCAAAATGTGCATATCTCAGAAAGCCAAGTAGAAAAATATCATCTATTTATTATTCAAAAGAAGTAAGGGAGAGGATGGAAAGAAAACAGGATGATATCGATAAATTATTGAACACAAGGGAAGTCAAGGGATACTAGTCAATGACAATGATTAGAAATAACCTTGGATAACCAGTCAAGTGACAAGGAAATATAAAAGAGATGGAACGGCAGGAGATGAATTACAATTCCAGGAAGGTATTTAACACAACTGAACTTTCGTTTCACATCCCTTCAAAGGAAACTTTTCTTAAAGTGGTGTCATTATATTCCTAGAAATCAAATTTATTGCTTCTGAAAACAGCGCTTAAACTTCAGGTTGGCATTCATCATGGACTGACATCAGTTGGAGATACATTGGAAACCCGGGACTAACCAAGTTGAACATGAAGACAAATACTCAGCGACGACATTGGATGGAGGTCGCGCTATACCGTGAACTGACGGTAGCAGGAAAGACAGGCCAGTGACTCAGCATTAATGTGCTGGTCACGGGACCTGAAGGCCCTTGGTTTTAACCCTGGAGGGATCAAGGGTGCGCACTGCCGAGGAAACCTATACTAGGACGAAACAGCTGTTCAGTGCTCCGGTTTCTCGGCGTTTTTCCAACCGTTGTCAGTCCATGTTGAATACCAGCCTGCAATCAATACAAATCCCACAAACCTTCAAACTGAACGTTTAAACTGTCTGAAAGACTGCTAACGTTTATCATATTCCAAGACGTGATGTTAACTCATCAGTTTTTTTGGTTGATGTTTCGAAGTGAGGAATCTGAGGTTTCATTCTATACCGATATAAGGGTGGAGTGAATGAATTTCATGAGAATAAATCTTTCAGGATACGGCAACACTGTGGTCACAGCATGAAAGTTAAGCTTTTTGACTAAAAGCTGATGACCAGCACTTTTTAGCCTTATTCAGTTCATGAGATGATAATTCAGATGCTAAGTGCTTACCACTGTAGATGCTGAATTGGATAAATACAAATCAGTAGAACAAGTGGTCACTCTTATTTATTTTTAGAAGAAAATATATCTGAAATACCTTAAGAAAATAATCAAATTACCGTGGTATATTGTGGTATATACACTTCCAGTTTAGTATAATTGTTTTTATATGATACCGTCGTTGGTTGGACCGAATTGATCGGTCTTTATACCCATCGCACAAGAAGTGGCTATCGTGGCTAGGTGGTGCAGTGGATAACGCGCTGGCGTTTGGAGCGATCGCTTCGGAGTCCGAATTCCGGTGGAAACAATATCACTCCGCACCGGGAAGCAGGTACGTCCAGCTGACGAGTCCCAAATAGGACGAAACGAGCATCCTGGATTCCACTGTTAGCCACGATCCATCATTAACTTCCAGTTCAGCTGAGAAATCTTCACAAATAAATCTTTATCCTACAGTCAGATATCATGGCATATCCTGACATATCCTGCAACCTTTTATTTACAGGATTTCCAGTTATTTGGAATGAATGCTCCACGACTGCATGTCAGGTTTCTGTCCCTAGGCTTACAAAGCACTCTGAAGTACATCGCTACGGCACAAACTAGCTGCAGAAACCTAGAGTTGTGTAATGGATGGTGGCCGTGGTGTGCAAGCTAGCCAAAACGCTGTTTGTGGGAAGAAATAAGTTAGTCTTAAATATCGCATTTGTTTGGAGTAATAGGGACTTTGTAAATCTGCATCTCAGAAAAGCCACAGATAGTACAGTCATGAGATACACTTCTGCCACAGACAAATAATAATAATAATTCACTTTATTCCAAACAATTTGTGGTACAATTTGGAATTCTCAGCATAAGTAACGCTAGTTTAGGAGAATTGTTTTACCTACTGTCTATGAAATCAAGGAAGGACTAGCAATGTATCCAGCCAGGGTGCGTTACAAGAAAAGAGAGACTGGAAGGGGATAGTGGTAATGGAAAAGGTTTATCATACCTGCAGCTAATACTGCCAAGATTGCTGCTTTTGCATAAGAATATTTGTTCAATGTTATTTCACAGTATGTGAGACCAAGCTGATGAGTAGTATAGTACTTCATAACACGGATTTCGTAAAAATAGAAAAGTGTAATCTGTAAGTGTCACATGAAGAAACAAGGTCGTGCTATTGGGGATTCACCCTAACTTGCAAATGAAATGTAAATTGATTGGAAAAGTACAAGATTTTGCATTCTCATGATAAAATTCATAGATCAGCTGTAATTATATAATAGTGAGGTATTTCAGCTGGTGCTTTTTTAACCATAGTAAGCTATATTGTTTATATGTATTGATTACTAAGATGGAAATCGCTGCTACTTACGTAGGTGATGAACAAAATTTGCTGATGAGGGAATTCAGTGTGACAAAAAAGTTATGCGACACAGCATTGTGGTATATTGTGTTCGCGTTAGTCTGCAGAAGGATTTTTACCCGAATCTTAGTTGACAGGCATCAAAACTAGACAACCGATGGGCAGTTAATTCGCTTGTTTACCTTCATTTGGCGCGGTATACACCTACTACCTAAACAGCTCACTAGCAGCAGTTTCATGCATTCGAATTCTCACAGACTAATTAGTTCCCTTGAGTTTATGGGTGTATCTGAGTGCTAAGTACAAGTAGATAGGGGGCTTAGTTCCACAGACTATCGGTGATTAACTCCAACAATCTTTTTGTTACAAATCATCAGATATATCGTTACCATCTCTATAGAGTACTGTCTGCCTTAACAGTTGTTGAGTCAGGCACTCATGGAGATGCTTCAGAGGAACAATTCTTATTCACTGTGCATATCCCCTTAGGTTTTATGACCTCATATTCCTTCATCGGACTTACCTTTGTTTGTGTGTATTGCTACAGCGTGACCTATTGCTTTTATCCTATTATCTCTGTTGATCCAAATCTGCTTTCATGGAAAAAAACATGTTTATAGAAGAGGATTCACAGAATAGCAAACACCTTCGTCTATCTGTTATCGGAACCACGCTTTCATCGTTGAAAATAATTTATATGGCTGTGGTTATTACTACTGGGTGACAACTGAAAGTGAAATGAATACTTGGGTCATGGCAAGACTCTGTCTAACCAGTGGTCTATGGGTTACCGGCTCGGCACTCCTTTTGGATTGGGTGTGATTAATCATCATGAATAGAAGGTGGATTATTGTTGAACTGTTGAATTATTGTAACTCCCAGTAACTTAATTATTTAAGGACCTAGTCAATAGCTGCATATCCTAGTTCAATAGAAGCAGTATCGGTTCCGTAACGCACAGGTCACATTTTCAAAACGAATAACTGTTATCTTCAGTGCCGTGGTTTAAATTATTATGAAACGTTTCAAGCAGCTCAATACTTACACCAATACAATCTCCTTGATGATAACAAACTCACAACATAAGCGAAAGGTATTGACTTTTTCCTGTAATAGATCAATTTTAATTATATCTTTACTACTTTACCTACTTTCATTTTAGTTGAAGGGAGAGAACAATCACGCCTTATGGATTTATCGAAAACATACATTCCTTATTTTTCTCAAGTTGATACTCATCATGGATTGATATCAATTAGAGGAACATTAGAAATCTTGGAGCACTGGACAACTATTTCTTCCTAGTATGGGACTCTTCAGCAGTGCTCACCCTGGTGGCCATGAGGACAAATACTCAACGATGAAATTAGGTAACGGTCGCAATATGCCGTGAACTGACGGAATTAAGAAATATGGACCACTGGCTTCCCACCCAGTGGCTCAATGATAACCTGCTGGCCATGGAACCTGAAGGTCACGAGTTCGATCCCTAACAGAGTCATGGGTGAGCACAGCTAGAGAGTCCCATACTAGTGGGACGAAATAGTTTTCCAGTGTACCCAGGTTTCCAATGTTCCTCCGACTGATGTCAGTCCTTGATGAATACCAAGCTGGAGAAGAAATATCTCTAAATCCCCACAAACCCCAAAATTCAATACACTCATTAATTCAGCTTTCCGACGCATAGATTTTGTAATTAGTGTCTTTCGGCATAGGTTGGGCTAAGAACTATGTGTAAGAGGCGATTTTCAAAATAATGGGTGGTCTACATTAGTTCATGTATACGTAGAGATATAGTAGTAGCCCTGCTTATTTGGGATTCACCAGTCGCATGTACCTGTACCCTTGGGTCGCTGTTCTCATTATGACTCAGGTCCAAAACCTGTTACACCAAATGTCAAAGCAACACCCACTGGTCGACTGAGTCAAGATAGTCAGTCCTGGTACAACAGGTATATTTCAACATTTTGACTTTTTACTCGCCATTATTATTATTTTCTGTAGGCATATCTAGTTGATGAGTCGAAAATAGGACGAAACAAGCTTAATGGATTCTAATACTAGCCACTATTTCTTCCTAATATCATAGAAAAAATACCTACTATATCAAGGCATCCGTACAGCAGCGCATATGTCAACGATGACTAACCAATTCTATCCAAATCAATCAACAACGGGTACTGATACGTTCCAGTATGATTAATATATGGTGTTTATTAGCGAGAAATCATGAATCATCATCTTAGATTCATTTCTATTTCAATAAGAAAGAAAGTTTACACAAAATGACAAGAAATGAAAGTGATCTTCAAATGTAGACTTCATCTTTTTTCGAAGATATAAATGAAAATAAGTTTTCAAGTTTAATTATTCATTGTATAAGTATTTTTGTCTGATAAGTATTTCAATACATGCTAAAGAATTTTGACAGCATAAATTAATAAGAATGCGAATTACTTTAATTTTTTTATTCTTATTCATTATTCAGATTGATTGACTACATGAAAATGATACTGATTTCAGATAGACAAAGTAACTTAGTGTACCATGCAACATGTAAGGAGAAATTTACTAAACTATAATCAAGATTTGACCGAATACTATAGAAGCCTATTTGAAATGAAATATAATTCCAACATTTCACACGAAAGTTTAATTCGAGCTACTTCAGCGAAGAAAAAAATAAAATCGAAAGCGGACAAAC